AAATGAATAATAGACAGAAAAAGACAATGGTTTTTCTTACTCAACAAAGACGTCAGTTAGGACAAGTGAGTAAGACGAAAAAGAGCATACGTGCACAACAGATGAATAGAAAAAGAAAAGAACAAGAACATACAATATGGCTCTTTTATGCGGACTCAAACCCATGGGAAAAATTTCGTTACTTTAAAATGCTGCGAAGCGCGTTAATGCTGACCAGTTTAACGCGTTTCGCAGCTGTTAAATCGGTTAAAAACGCCGCGAGACGATATACTTTCGTTTTCATCCGGGAATTGTGGCTTCGAAACGCGTTTTGAGTAAGTGGAAAAAAGAGTTATATACGTTTCTCACCATGGGAAACGTTGCGAACGCGTTAAATCGGTCGACATTAACGCGTTTCGCAGTGAATATATCCTAATTTTTTATCCCATGGGAATCGCAAAAAAGCGCCAAAACAAAGCTCTTATAAGCGAACCGCTCCTTTATCCGAAGCTCTCATAAGCGGACTTTGCCAGCACGTAAAACACAGGAGAAAAAAACGGAGAATTGGAAAACGGCTCTTAAAAGCGGACCGCTCCTTTATCCGGAGCTCTTATAAGTGGACTCGACTGTATGATTGTTATGACAGAGATAGATTCTATTAAAAAAGTAGGTAAATGAATTCTTGTTGATATGTTTCCACTTTATGAATCGATATTTTTAGTCTTTATTGAAGATGTGAATATGGGTAAGAGAGAGAGTATATGATCCATCAACACATCCAAACAACATCTACATCCACACCAAGACTCACGACGATGATAAGATCGCATTTTGAACGTGTGCAAATAAATCAGCACATAATTTTTCTAGATTCGTTTCATTTATGAATGCTTGTTTAAATTGACGTCATTTTTCGATATTCGTTAACTAAAATAAATAAAATAGATTTTTTTTGATACAATTAATATGTGGATGTTTTCTTTTATAGTACCTGCAGATGATATTCTCGACCAGCAATAAGAAATAAACGATTGTCTAATTTTTCAAAACGAGCACTGAAACGTGATGACGTCAATGAAAACCTAAAAAAAGTAAAAAACATACTATATTATCTATGAGAATTCATTTTGACATTTCAAGGTGAAATTTATTGATTTTGTTTTGATCGTTATTCCTTCGGATTGCAACAAAGAAGCTTTTTTTTCATTGATGTTTTACTATTTATCTTTTCCAAATAAATTTTAATCGTACGTTTAAGTCTTGATCATTTTTAAGAAGAAAATTAGGAAGAATAATTAGCCATAGGTGAAAAAAAATAGTTCATGCAACAGCCCAAATACAACTTCACTCAATTTTACTCATAAGAATAAATTTAGAAAAACTCCTGCAATATTAATTCACTATTAAATCATCAATACGATATTTCAATACAATTTTTTTTCTCTAAAGATTAAGGATAAATGATTGAAGTAAATTCTTACAATTCATCAGCAATTCTATGTGATGAACATGCACTAAACATAAGATAAGCTACATTGATAATAAAGTCTATTCATTAACTTTAGCTGAATAGCATACATTAATTAAAGCACGAAAAATAAGCAAAAACTGTATATGCAAGTATTTGAGAATATTATTGTTGTATTATTGCAGCAAATTCTAAATCTATTTTATTCATTAAACAATCCGATAAACCAATATATGTAAGTAATAATGGTAATGGACATAATAAAAGTAAAGCTTCATATGCTTATGTTGATGATTGTTTCGTACGTGCATATAATTCTCCAACAAGTTCAATAAGAATATTATCTGATGATGATATTATTGATGAACTATCAATTATTCTTTGTTCTTCATTAACATATTCATTATTTAATGAATTTATATTTTTATTTGGTCATTGTAATCGGTAAACCTGAAATTGGTCGAAAGTAAAAATGTCGAAATGAAAATGTCGAAAATAAAAAAGTCGAAAATAACAATGTCGAAAAGGATGTGAGTATGAGGTGAGATATTGATGTGAATGGGGTTGTGGGTGTGGATATGTGGATGTTTATATGGGTGAGGGTGAAGGTGAAGGTGTAGACGAGGGTGAGGGTGTAGGTGAGAGTGTAGATGAGGGTGAAGGTGAGGGTGAGGGTGGGTGTGAGTGGGATGGGTGGGTGGGCGTGTGTGGGTGTGGGTTTGGGTGGCTGTGGATGTGGGTGTGGGGGGTGGGGGGGGGTGTGAGTGTGGGGTGTGGGTGTTATTCTCCCGGCATCACACCCACACCCACACCCACACACCCCTACCCCCACCCATCCCCACCCACAGCCACCCACACCCACACCTACACCCACCCACACCCCACACCCTTTCAGACCCCTGTAACTCCGGATAGGAATGTCAAAAATGAAAACGCTCGATTTTACCTCTGGAGAATACTCTCAAGTATTAGTGGTAAAAATTCCAGCCCGATCAGACAAAGTTAAAGAGGGGTCGTAATGTGTCAAGATGAAAACCTCTGGAAAACTGGAGTTTTCGAGAAAATCCCATATAAACTTAATCCAATTTTTTTTTCCTCGAACATGTATCTCGTTATTTTTAGTGCTCTATCTGTGCTGAAAATTTTAGCTTGATCGGTTGTACCGTCTTCGAGAACCAGAAAGTGTCAAAAAAGAGGGGGGGGTACCCTTAATTAAAAGATTTCCATCTAAAGTGTTATCTGTAGACATGTTTCAGACCCATTACAACATCGTAAAGGTTTTAGCTTAACAAATGAATAAAAAAGATTAATAATTGAAATTTTCTTTACAATAAATATTTACTATTTAGAAGAAGTTACCTTTTGTGTACATTGAATGTTGATTTAAAATAATTAAGTGTTTCTTCCAATTTTTTTGATAAATATTGTGTAGAAATAAGACATAAAACTGATTTCATAGACAATAATGATTATTTCTGATGAATGCAATAAACTTTTATGTATTTAATAAGATGAACGTATTAATTCGAATAATTTCATCATTGATGGATTATTTCCAAAAGCACCTAATTGTGTACGATTAACTTTTTTATCTTTGTCTGTGTTTGATGTTGTTGATCGATCTTTATCATTCTCTTTAAAAAGAAAAAACAAGTGAATTCATTCAGACAAAACATTATCAAATATATTCTTCAAATCTAACACTTTGGAACTCGTTTCTTCTGTGAAAACTGAAATATCAGCTATAGAAAATTATCTTCTGCCCAAAAAAATGATGATTGTGCATATTTTTGCAATAGTTCGAGAACGGTAATAAAATAGTTCAATTTTCCAATCACTTGAATCATTTGTGCTACTTTCAAAACATTTTTTCATTTGTTGAGATTTGATAAATCTTCAAATAAAAAGAAAGAATTCAAAAAAACATAATAAATATCTATTTTTTTCTCTTTACTTGAAAAGATTAAATTATTCATATCGAGTAATAGTTGTAAATTATTAAGATCATGTAATATAAAGGGATGTTTAAAAAAGAAATAAACGAAGTTCATCATATTCATTATGAAAAAATGGTGGAATAGTTGTTAGTCTGAAAATATGTGAAAGAACATAAATATCTTCTAAACATCCAACCTATATAAAAGACAAAAATAACAAACAATTTGTATTCCAGTTAATGCTTGAGCTAAACGATCAAATATTAATGTTAATAAACATGATATTGTTTCATATTGTACTTTATCATTGGATATTATTACAGAAGTAGTTGATTATTGTAATGAATAATGAATTTTATATATCCATTGACAAGAAGAATTAATCCATTTAAGTAAATAATGTATTGACCATTGACATGGTAAAAATGAATTGTGATCAACAAACCTTAAAATCAAAAAGTAGCTAATAACTAACTTAGTGCAATAAAATCGACTTATGCATTAAAATTCGAAAAAAACTACCTAGTTAACATCTCTACAAGATACATACTTAGCAAAAGTCGACAGTTGCTTGACGAACACTTATATCAGAATACTGTTGTTTTAATTGTTGTTGTTGTTCAAGATAAGTTAATATTTGAAAATCAATGTCATCTATGTATAAATGCAGGCTTTGAGCTTCAATAAAGTGTTCTACTTGATATCGTTTCGAGTCTGATAATGATTTAGTCTTTTGTTGGTTTCAAAAAAATTAAAAATAGGCATAGAACTAGAGCTGCTGAATCAATATCGAGAAATCTCCCTTCTTGAATTTTCAGATTCCAATATATATATGTTTTATATCGCTTTGGTTCAAAAATTTAATAGTGAAATTGTCATATCTATCAGATAACTTTCACTAAAACTTTGAGACCTTAACCAATTGAAGCCACGTCAACTAAACTCTGCCACAATCCCATTCACCTAGGCCCTCCTACTGTTACGATATTAGAAATAATTTTGGATTATAAAAAAAAATCTATTTCACTGAGCTGAAATTTTACAAAAAGAAGCCTCAAACAAGCATTAAACATACTTTCAATAAGGTAATCAAATCGACCAAATTGTTGATAAATACGATAGACGTATTGGTATAGCACATTTAACACTAATACATGATTCATCATCACTTTTTATCGTACCATCCATATTAAGTATATATCTAATCGGAAAAAAAATATAATTGATTACAGTGTGGGAGTTAAAACTGTTTTTTGAAAAAGTTAAAAGTTGAGAAAATCGGAAAAAGTTAAAATGGTTATAACTCGAGTTATAACTTTCAACCATGGTTATAACTTTCAACCATAGTTATAACCTTCAATCCGAGTTATAACCTTCAACCCGGGTTATAACCTTCAACCCGGGTTATAACCTTCAACCCGAGTTATAACCTTCAACCCGAGTTATAACCTTCAACCGTAGTTATAACTATCAACTGTAGTTATAACCGCAGTTATAACTACAGTTATAACTTTCAACCATAGTTATAACTATTAACTGTAGTTATAACTTTCAACTTCATTAACTTTCTTAATCTTTTGAGCAGAATTAATTAAATTGAA